AACTTGGGCCAGTGAAGCAACGTCCTCCACAACTAGACTGAAGAACAAAACGACAGCAACTTGTCTGTTCCCCTTCCCTCAATTCCCCACCGCTGTTCCCATCCCCCCAATTCCCCAATAAAAAAAAATCTTAAAAAAAAAAATAACAGTGAATGTAATTTAAGATTCCTCTGTCCAGATTAGAAAATCATATATCATATTTCTATTTGTGTTGTGGTTTCTACTAAATATTTAACATACATATTTAAACATTTTTTAAAAATTACATCTCAAGTTAATTTGTATCTATGTCATCCCCCTGAATAAAAAAGATCCTTAGCTTGCTGTCATATCCTCTTTGCCACTCTGTTTTGCAATCTGGGTTTTAAATCTTATTATTAAATTACCCTCACAATATATTTCAAAAATCATTTCAACTCAGATGTTTTACTGATTCATTTACTTACTACATTTTCTTATAATCCACAAAAGTTTTACTTTCTTTGATTTTTAAAAGTGAATTACATTCATGACTAATTCTGTTACCGGCCAGGTGAGTAGGTTTCTTAGTTCCTTAGCTCCTGGCTTTGATTTCTCTTCTAGTCAGTTTCTGAATCCTAGGCTAAAGATTGCTCTTAGCCTGAATCATAGAAGTCTCCTATCCCCCTGCTTCTTGATTGTTTTGTAAATCAGTTTCTTAATCATAAACCATAGATTGTTTATAGAAATCTCCTACCCCTGCTTCAGATTAACTACTTAAAAGTCTGTGACTTCCCAACATCCCCCAAGCCATTCCAGACCTAACTCTTGGACAATTCTATCCCAGAGAATAAATAGGTTTTAACATTTTCCAGGCCAGTAAGCCTAATGTTCCTCCCAACCCATTCTGGGCACAGCTCCTAGACAATTGACGCCACCTCAGTGACCCGTTGAATGGCCACAGGCTCCATAAGAGCTAACCGATTTATTAACTAAAATCTATTTTTCCTCATTCAGGGGACTTGGGGATACAGATGACACCTCAGCAAGATTGCCAGTCACAACCTAATAAGCCAACATGGTCTTCCAGGCCGATCTCGGGACCCCTTCCTTTCATCTGAGATCAGATAGAGGGAGAGTTCTGTGAATCCCATAATAGACAGGGACAGCTCTATGCCCCTGCCCAGCAGGAAACAGATACAGAAGAAAAGACCTCCTGTCCCTCAACTTCCCATAGAGATTTTATGGAGATCACGTCTCTCAAGGGGAAAACCAGGCAGGCAGTTAGAGGCAGGCATTGGGTCATTGCATTCATGCATGTCCCACACAATGCTACAGCCCAGGAGACCTCTTGTCTCCACCCAAAACTTCCCCTTTTTCATTGACATTATATACCCCTGCAGAGAAACAAATGGGTACAAAATACCCAACTAGATCAGACGAGTCACTGGCACCTATGCAGTCTAAAAAGATGAGGTAATAATCTCTTGTTAATCACAGGTGTAGAGGGACAGCCCATTTTAGAGAAAAAGAGATAAAAACTCCAAGTCCTTGGAAGTCAGCCCTCCCTTTTTTTAAAGCCTTTTGAGCTTCTTACATTGCGTGTGCGTGGCCCGCTCCAAACTCTTTGGAGTGTAATTTCTCTTCTGATATTGGGCCCTTGAGCCATTCTCTACTGCTCTGGTCTGATTCTATTTCTTTGAAGTGTACTATCTCTTCTAATAAACTGCTTTTTCACTACATTCCCTCAGTATCTCTTTCAATTCTTTGCTCAAGTTGCCAAGAACCTGGACATCACGCCAAGAAGGCCCCACTCTCTGGCAACAATTCTATCAGAGATATTCTAGAGATTATAATCTATGTATATACTCTCATTTTCCAAATGCTTTTGCTTTGCTCACAGTTGAATACCAGATTAAAGGGTTATAGAATTCCAAGTTCTAAATCATTTTACTTGGAAATCTGAGGATGCTGCTCCACACTGTTTACTAAGACCCATTGTCTCATGTAAGCCTCACCCTCTTTGCTGTATTTGAAGAGTGGACTTTCTTGGTTACCCGACATCAATTTCTTCTCCTCTTTTTATTTTGCAACAGAAACTTGATTTTGTGTCCACAGCCTACTCCACTTCTGGGGAACAGGGTGGAGACAAGGAAGAATCCTGGTTTTTTGATGACTTCACTGAACAACTCATTCCACTGTAGCTGGAGTCCATCCCAAAGATTTCTTTTTTTTTTTTTAATTTTTTTTTTAGCTGAGTCATCCTGCCACCTGTTGGCAGCTCAGCACGGGCCAGGAATCGAACTGGCAACCCTGTTGTTCAGAGCTGGCACTCTTGAGCGAGCTCTTAACCAACTGAGCCACTAGACCGGCCCCCCCAAAGATTTCTTGTTACACTTTTATCATTTGAACCAGTTTGAGCAGTCCCATTTCTATTACATAGGTAACCTTTTATTTCCTTTTTTCTTGGTAGCTTTTAGAATTTTCTGGTTCTCCTTAGGGTTCTGAAATTTCATCCAAGATGTATTTTTTTGTAGCCCCTTCATCCCAGTTATTATGTTCAACAAATTATATTCTATTTAATCTGAAGACACAGGTCTTCTTTAGCTTGAATGTGGTTTCTGCTATATCTCTATCCATATCTCTATATAATTGATTTGTAATTATTTCCTCCTCTTCATTTTCTCTGTTTTCTTCTTCTAAATCTTTATATTAGATGAATTTTGGATCTCAGGGCACTTTGCTATATGCTTTTCAAGATTTCCTCTCAGTTTCTGGTGTTTTGATGATATTTTTCCAGATATTTTCAATTAATTTTTTCGAAAATTATATATGTATGTGTCATTGTTATTTTAAGGAATATTAAGAGAAAAAGGGAGGTAATCATGTGTATATAGTCTGCCACCTTATTTTTATTTTACAAATCTCAATGCTGTGTTGTTTTGCCAATAATGATTCATAAATTTTATATCTTTATCTTGTAGTTATTTTTATTGAGTAAAATTCATATAACATAAAATTTACCATTTTAGCCATTTTAAGTGTACAGTTCAGCACTAAGTACATTCACATTGTGCAACCATCACCACCATCCATCTCCAGAATTTTTTCATTATTTCTAACTGAAACTCTGTACTGATTAAACAATAAATCCTCATTTCCCTCTTCCTTGAGCCCCTGGTAACCATTTCTGTCTATAATTCTGACTATTCTAGATACCTCACATAATTATATTGGATATAATGTATATATTGGAATTATACAATATTTGTCTTTTTTTAGTCTGCCTTGTTTTATTTAGTATGCCTTCAAGATTCATCCATATTGTAGCATATATCAGAGTTTCCTTCTTTAAATGACTGGATAGTAACTCAGTGTATGTATATACCACGTTTTGTTTATTTACTCATCTCTTCATTGACATTTGGGTTATTTCCACCTTTTGGCTATTGTGAATAATGCCACTATGTGCATTGGTGTACAAAAACCTGTTTAAGTCCCTGCTTTCAATTCTTTTGGGAATATACCCAGAAGTGGAATTGCTGGATCATATAGTAATTCTATTTTTAATGTTGTTAGAAACTGCTATGCTACTCATATTTTCCACAGGAGCTACACCATTTTACATTTCCATAGGCAGTGAACAGGATTCTGATTTCTCCACGCCCTCACCAATAATTATTTTCTGTATTGTATTGTTTTTCTTGCATAGCAGTCATGCTAATAGGTGTGAACTGATATCCTACTGTGGTTTTGATTTGCATTTCCCTAATGCTTAGTAATGTTATCTTTTTGCAATATGAAACAACTCATTGGGTCCAACTTAATTATTTTTACTTTAAAATGACCTATCTTATTGCAATATTATGATCCCAGATTTCTTTTTCATATTATTTTCCTGGCATATTCAATTCCTTTATTTTCTACCATCAAGTGCCCTTTAATTTTAGGCTTATCTGTGTAAATGGTAATGTTGAATATTTAAAAATAAATTTATTCAACATTTATTGAGCACATATTATTTAGTGTGTACTGTGCCATTCCTGGAGGCTTCAGTTTGAAGAAAGGGATTATAGTCAATGCCGGAAGACAAGCTTTACGATTTAAATGAACTCTTTTAAACGAATGAGTCTCATAAAAAGGGAAATACTGGGTTTATGTTTTTGCTTTTACCCAATGTGAACATCAGTTAAAAATATATCTTTTGTAGGTTACAAAATTTAGACATAATTTTTTAAAAATTCAAAAATTTGTAACAGATTTTAATACTTCTTTTTTTTTCCAAAGATTTTTATTGGGGAGTTGGGGGGATGGGAACAGAGCTGAAGAATTGGGGGAAGGGGAACAGACAAATTGCTGTCGTTTTGTTCTTCAGTCTAGTTGTGGAGGACGTTGCTTCACTGGCCCAAGTTGGCACCATCATTGCGCTCTTCCCAGGTGAGGCAGATCAGTCGCCGGCTTCTGGACGGCCGCTCACTGCTGCTGCTGGCCGCTCACGCTGGCTGCTGGCTACACATGGTAGCCCATGGCAACCCACTGCCACAGGGGCTGAAGCCTACGCTGACTCAAGACAGCCCAGCTCCAGGTTGAGCTGTTGTTCAACATCTTAGCTGTGGAGGGCAGTGTCACTGGCCCTCATATGTGGGATCCGAATACGGGGCCCTTTGGCATGCCAAGCCAGTTCTTAACCATCGCGCCACTCAGCCGGCCCTTAATACTTCTTTTACCAGTCCAAAATAAACGCCAGCGAGTGCCTAATCTTCCACATATTTCAGGGGTCGGCAAACTTTTGAGATGTCATATTTAAATACATTATCACTTTTCCCTCTTACTATCATTGTCATTATAATTACGAATAAAAAGTGTGAACCAGTGGATAAATGGTTAGAGCTGATGCTGAAGGATGAGGTTCAGCCTTATCCAGCTCCGAGCAACACCGCGTTTTACAGCCTTCCCGCTATTGACCCATCTCGGTCACCGTAGAGACGAGTGCCGCAGTAACATCTGGGAAATATAGTTCGAAAGGAAAAGCACTGTGGTTCAGCCGGCGGAGCGTAGGCTCTCCTGTGCGCAGACGCAATTGCGCCCGGCCGCCTGGCGGCGGCGGAGAAAAATGTTCCTGAGATAGGTGTTCCGCTTGCCTACAGTGAGGTCCTCCGCTTCGCCTCCCGTTCGCGGCGGGGTCAGCTACAGACTGCCGGTGAGAGTGGGCCCGGGGTGTGCAGCTCCTGCGGCGGGGCCAGGACAGCGAGTCCCAGTTTGGGGCATTCGAGACAGGCGGCCTCGGCAGGTGAACGCGGCCCGGGGAGGGGGCGTTGCCCGTAGAGGTCCCCCGAGGAGGCCGGAAGTCGGCTTTCCACCCAGAGTTTAAAGTTTATTTTAGATTTATTCGTTTTTGCAAACCTTGCTTGTTTGGCATCGTTTTCCTAGAGTGATTTAAATAATTTTTTTTGTTTGTTTAGAGTAATGTTGTCCTTTTGCTAAGTTACTTACCTTTTCTCTAATTTTTAAATGCATAGCCAGTGACGCTGTTCCTTCTTAGTCTTGTATTTTTTAGGAAGTGGGAAGGGAATGTGGGTAGCTGATGGTTCCTTTTATATTTAAGGATCTATGATAACTCTTCATAAAGGAAGCACAGCTTCCAAGAAGGGAAGAGAGGAATTGTTGGTTAGCTGTTCCTGAAAAGGACACCAAGTTCTTCAAAGGATATTTGAAACATTATTACAATTGTTAATAAAAGAAACGTTCAAAGACTTAATAAGAATTTGAGTCCATATTTTGAGGACATGCCCCGAAGCAAGATCTCAATGGATTGAGAAAATGCCCTGGAGAATGGCAGTTTTACAGTTCTTTTTATATTTTTAGACTCAAAGGAGAAAATAAGGAAGGTTACATGAAGTCTATTGGTAGTAGATTAAGGAGGTGGGAGAAAGCAAAGCGGGGATGTATTTAGGGTTGGATAAAAAAATGGAGAAACAGACTTCTTTTACATGGGTGGTTGCAGGACAGTTAACGTTTAACAATTACAGTGAATAGAGATGGTATGTGGGCAACAAGATAATAACTGAATTTCATTGTTGTACATTGCTGCTAGTGGGTCTGTTTTTGAGGGGTCTGGAAGTGAGAATAACCCTGACATTCCAAAGACATGTTATCCTAGCTGCACAAGAACAATGAACAGGGCTCGCTTAGAGTAAAGATTAACCCTTAATGAAGGAAGCTATAGGCCTAGGATGTGACTACCCACTATGCCCTGCCCAGTCAGGAGTTAATGTTCAGACTATCTGGTGTGGTTACTTTTGGTCCCTGGGCTTGTCAGGCCTGTGTAGCCCCCTTTGCATTCTCTTAATCATAATTATTATAGCTCAAAATATTTAAGTGCAGGTGTGTGGAATATTTGTCATCTCATTAATGCATATCCCTGACCCGGGTGTGACTGCCCTTTACTCTGTTAATGCACTTCAGATGGTTCTAACCCCTTAGTTTGATTCATCTTTATTCATAAACCACTGACTGAAAGGTAGCAGGCCCAGTGACTGGAAGTGTGCTTGCTATCCACCCTGGTTTGATGACCATGGTTAGGCTCCTCTAACTTGGGATTCCCTGGTCTGTGCCAGGTTCCCTCTGGCTTCCCTCTGCTGGGAGCTCAGTGCATGGAGACTTGTAACCTGGTCTGGCTTAATGAGGGTGGGAGTGTTGACAGGATGGAGACCTCACAGTTTTCTTCATTTCAGGTGCCTTCTCCAGGAGGGACAGCGGGCAGGGAAAAATGGCCACAAAGTTGCTACCAGCCCAGGTTCAGGTGAGTAAAAGCTTCTTTCTTGAACAGAGGTTCAGGAACATGCTTCATCCATTGTTGAGCTTTTGTGGCTTTGAAGCCCACAGAGGGGTCAGGTGGCCTGGTGGGTGAGGAACTCTGGAAAGAAGGTGCCTCCCTCGCCCCAGGGCCTGGCTCATTGTGAAATCTGCACTTAGGAATTGAATGGGCTCCCAACCCACACACTGCCTACCCCGGAGCTTGGTGAGAGATCCACGTATGGTTTTGCCCTAAGGAGGAGGGATGTTATCGGGAAAGGTGGTTTTTCTTGGTTTTTGTCTTCTTGAAGGAAAGAATTCAGTCAAGAGGGAGTCTGGGAGGTAAAAGTGGCAAAAAGGTTTATTAGAGAGGCAAGGGCATTCCAAGACATGGAGCGCCTGCCCCGAGGTTGGGGTAGCAGCCTCTCCTTACATTAGGTGATAGCTTTATTCTTTGTGGGTAGGATATTTCTCCTCCCTCTCTGGCATCTCCCCTTTTTCTAACCAACACATCTCCAGTTTCTAGGTCATAAGCGCGAGCCCACCAACTTCTAACTGACATGTCCCCTGTTTTTAGGGCGCAAGCGCGAACCTGCCAATTTCCCACCCTCCATTTGAAAGCCCACTAAGGGTGGGGGGGCAAACCACAATGCAGATATACTTATGGGCTTGGCCTCTAAATGGATAAGGACAGCTTGGGGCGGGGCTAGTTCCTCCTCCTGCTGCTCATCTCTAATTCCTGCTTACTCTGTCACAGAGACATGGAGGAGTCAAATAATTCCTTCACAGCACTAGGGACTCGCAGTGGAAAGGCACGTCTTCGCCTTTCCAGTTAACTGCAGTAGTACCTGGTAAGGGTCTAGGCAATTTTCTAGGAAGAGCCAGGAAAAAAGACCTCTGAGGCAGCAGTACTGGGTGATCTTGGACTTAGAAGCAGTCTCAGGCTCATAGAGATGGTGAAACGAAATGAAGTCACAGCCCTGGCCTGGCACTTCCAGAGATGTGAGACTTCCCTGGGGAGAGAAGCATCTTTGCCCTAACGTGGTGCTTGGAGAAATATAGTAAAACCTTGGATTGCAAGTAATGTGGTTTGCGAGTGTTCCGCAAGACGAGCAAACATTTCTAATATATTTTAACGTGGTAAATGAGTGGTCTTGCAATATGAGTAGTTTGCTTCCAGAACGAATTATGCTCGCAAACCAAGGTATTACTGTATAATTAAAAACATCATTTCTTCCAAGCCCAGAAAACGCCTCCACAAAAGAAGAGAAAGGAAACACTTTTATTATTGAGTAAGCGTTAAGCCAGAATGTGATGTACATCACAGCCCATCCCCTAGCAAGACTGCAAAGATAGGGAGCTTATGCTTCTGTAGCTAAGTGGATTCAACCCAGTTTTGCAATTCGGAAATTTGTCAAGGGACAAGGTAGGCCTGTTTCCTCTGAGGAAACTGGGAGCTGGGCACATTCAAAGAGATGGTTACCAGGTCCTTGGGGAACCTTTCCTTAATTGTGAGTCCTGTTTAGCTATTAAAAAGATTTACATATATTTGAAAAGGACTGAGAAATTCAGAAAGGAAACAGAGGGGAAGCCAGAAGTTCCCCTCTCAGCCTCTTACTTTTAGTTTGTGTTTGCCCTTACAGATCAGAGTTTTCCTGGTCTTGTGACCCACCTTTCTTGGTTTGAGGGATGGCGAGGAGAAAGCAAGCTGTGACAGGTCACATAGCTACAGAAATGTGTCCTAAGGAAATAAGCTTGGTACACTTCTCTGGTGATGAGGGGGGATCCTCAATTCAGCATTTTTAGAGTTACTAAAGTGGGAGTAACCTAAATGCCCACCAGTAGATTGGTTAAGTGAACTGACTGATCTGTACCATGAAATTCTGGACAGCAAATAAAAACATCTCACTCAGGATACAGTTAATCTGTATAATATTTGATTTTTGTTTAGAGCCGTATTAGCACGTAAAAAGTCTGAAAGGACATACAGGATGAACTTAATAAAACTTGTTTCTGGTGGTAAAAAGTTAGATTAATGTTTCTTTTTCTTTTGCTTATTGATCTTTTTTAATTTGCTTTTTTTGGAAAAAAAACCAAAATGATCCTTAATAAGAAAGGAGCCACTAGTTTAAAAGAGGTGACTGGTCTAGTGAAATGGGAGAGAGGTAGAAAAACAAGGCATCTGGGTGGAAGGGGGGTTCCAACTGCAGCCTTCTCACCAGCGCTTGTTGAAGGTTGGTGGAGTCCACTGCCCTGGGCCTTGTCAGGCAAAGCCATCCCTGGGGCATTCTCAGAGCCTCCCTGTGCCCAGGGCACAGAGATGGCCCAAGGTGGTGACAGTCCAGCCACACCTCTTGATTCCTGAGTGAGTGTGTGGGAGCCTCCTCCTAAAACCCGATTCTCGCATCTCACCTGTAAGGTGAGAGTTTGGTCTAGATGACTGTCCATGTCCATGTCTGAGGTTGTGTGTTTCCATCATTCTGGTTTTGTTGAATGATTTCAAGTGCTTAAGATAAGCACTTATTTGGCTGCTGCACTTCAGGTTTCTGCAAGTGCAGTACTTCACTCACCGTGGGTATGTGATAAATATGTGCTCCATAACTAACTGATGGGTGTCAGGAAGTAATTGGCCTGAAATGCTCAGAACTCTGAGTGGTGACAGGGTTGAAGCTCAATTATCCCCTCGTGGGTTTGCCATTATAGGAGTCTGTGACGTTTGGGGATGTGGCCGTGCTCTTCAGCCAGGACGAGTGGCTGTACCTGGACCCTGCACAGAGAGCCTTGTACCGGGAGGTGATGCTGGAGAATTACAGATCCCTGGTGTCTCTGGGTGAGGACCTTTCCTTGCGATGCAGAAGCTCCTTGGGCAAGCGTCTTGGTGCTCTCTCCAAGGAGGACATTGGCCGGCCTGGCCAGGTTCAGCCCACCACCTGGTAGGCAGGCTTGGAGAGTGGCAGCTGCTGTTCCCCTGGGCTGCCTCGAAGGTGTCAGCCTGACCGAGCTGGTGATGGACATCCTGTGTGTGCGTTTCCTGTCTCCTGTCCCCCTGTGTCTCACAAAAGGTTCCATCTTGGAGGAGTGCACAGCCAGAGCCCTCACTTCTCCCTGAGACCACTTCCTGATTGTCCTCTGGGCGCCCAGTTTTAAGCCCCTCTCAGAACAAACCTCAACTTCCTTGGACTGTTCCCCTGGCCTGGAGACCTGGGATGGGGTCTGCGTGCCAGGATGGCTGCTCATGTCTGTGCATGAACTCATTCTTTGTTTTCTTGCTTATGAACAGGGATTCTGTTTTCCAAACCAAAGGTTATCTTCCAGTTACAACGAGGGGAAGACCCCTGGATGGTGGAAAATGGAGCTTCTCGTGGCACATGTCTAGGTGAGTGACAGTCACCGGGGAATGGGCATAGTGTGGTGTGACTTCCTGGGTGCTGCTGGTTAGCGGGGAGGCTGCTGTCCACTGGCACTGACCAGGACCCTTTCTGGTGTGCTGGGCAGGGTGTATCCTCACTCTGCCTTTCTGAGTACTTCATACAGCAGGCTCAGAGAGAGAGTTAGATTCTTCCAGCATGGGTTGCAGTTTTGTAATATGTCCCTTGGAATTTGAATGCAGAATATGTAATGCGATATATAGTGTGTTCCCTTTTTTCTTGCTTTTACTAGATTATTTTCTTAAATTATTTTTCTTTTGCGGTTTGCACATACCTTTTAACAGTAAATACACCCCTCATTGTTCTTGTTGGGTTTTTGCTTGGACTTATTTCTGTCTGCAAGCTACTATGCATGGTCCAGCTAAAAAGAAAAATCAGATGTATGTATTTATATACAACATGTGGGGTATTTATGTACAACACAGGAGAGAAAGCCGGGGTAGCAAAAGGGCAGTGGCTATCAAATATAGGTAGAAGGTTTGCAGATACTCATCATGCCACTTTCCTAAAATTTTTGTGTGAAAATTTTCAAGATAATATATTCCAGACCCTGGCTGCCAGGACATCTCTCAGTCTCTAAAACCCCTGTGGTTGCTGAATTATAAGCTCTCGCTCTCTGTTTTTCTTTGAATTTTGTTTTTGTTTCTGGCACCAGAGGGTGGCTCTCTCTTTTGAGTTTTGCTGCTTATCCAGCATTTATTTCTCTCGATGGCAGGAGACAGGCTTTCTGTGTCTACTCAGTCTTGTATTTCCTTTTGTGAACTCTGTATTCAGATTTTTCCCCTTTGGTTTGACTAGAATATTTTCTTAAATAATGTTACCAGAAAGGTTCATGTGTGCTATATTTGTGCTTGACCAAAATCAATTCTTTTACCTCTCCTGTGGGAATTATATTTTGGATCTAGAATTCTGGCATCAGACTTTTTTCCCTCAGAATTGTCCACATTTTGCTCCACTGTCTTTGGGCTCTGAGTGTTGTCAATAAAAAGTCCTCTGTTTCTTCTATTTCCTGTCAGAAAACTTTTTTTTGTCTTGTCTTCTGTGTAGAGTCTTATAGGATATCTTCTTTATTTTTAATATTGTTGTTTGGTGCCCACTGGGCCCTTTGCTTTGAAGAATCAAGTCTTTTTCATTCCAGGGATCTTTTTTCTACTACATACTTACATATGTTCTACTACATTCCACCAAAAATTCAAGGAAGTTGACTGCAAGAATAATGATATAATAAAATAGAAATTCATTCAGAACCCTAGAAAATAAATGTATCTGTTGTAAGGACCAGAATGGGTAGCCATGGATGAGTCTCAGATTTGTCTCTGAGCTTTTTGGTTGGCAAAGAAATCATTAGTATTAAATTGACTCTAATTCTTTTATAAGCATTTAAAAATTAATTATTTTGATTTGTACAAGGTCTACATAGTATTGTAAAAAAAGAGGAGCTAAAAAAGGAAATTCACTTGAAATTTTACCAACTATGCTAAACTTTTATTGATATTTTACTATTTATCCTTTCAGACTGTCGATATTGTTTGAGTGTGTTTGTGCATGAGAGAGACAGACATGCACAGAGAAGGAGAGAAAGAGAGGTTGATTATACATATTGTTCTCAAGCCTGTTTTTAATTATGAATGTCTTTCAATTATTCAACCCTCATTTCATAGAGGACTACTTCTTTGAAAGAACTCTATTGTATTGGTAAAACATATTTTGTCGAACAATCTTGGAAATTTTAGGTCCTAGTTTTCCCCCTATTAATACTGCTGCTATGGCTATAGAATACAAAGGTATAGTATAAAGATAAAAAGAGAAAAGGTCCAGAGAGTAATTACACCACGAAGACATGAGTATTGTGATTAAAAAAGGCAAGGAATGTGAATTGAAAATTCACATAGGAGTTTTTGAAAAACTATTCAACCTCATTATAATCAATGAAATTCAAACTAAAAAATGAGATACCATATTTTTCCTTATTAAATTACCAGAAATTAAGAAATACATGTCCAGTGTTTGGCTACTGCTCTGAGTGATAAGTAGTATCTCTAGTGGGATTTTGATTGATACCGTCTCTCTGGAGGACTGTCTGCCTTTATTAAAATCAGTTCCAGGTTTGAAAATTTATCTTAAGGCAAAGTTGCAAAGATGGTGTAAAACAATGTTTGTTATAATATGAGGGATTACTGGGGAAAATGACTCTCAAAAGGGGATTTAGTAAATTATATGTTTGTGTATTGGAATATTATAGTCATTAAAATGATAGTGTCAACCTACATTCGTTGACATAGAGAGAAGCCCACAAATTTTTTTAAGTGAAGAGGAGAAAGGGAGAAAGTTAGTTTCAACCTGTTTTCATTTTTTTAAGTAAAAGTGTTTTTTAATATACAGAAAAATTCTGGTGAGCTAAATTTCACCTCTAACCGAGATGATACTTGCATGATGTGTTTATGGGTGAACTTCTGGGTTGTCGGAAAAGTCATGACATGACGCATTTTTGCAACGAAAAACAGGAAAAATACGTCATGACTTTTCCGACAACCCAGTATGTTTTCATTTTTATAGTTTTCTGAAATTTTATTACAATTGTATGTTTCACTTTTGGTTAAGAAAATAAAAACCCTTTCATAAAATACATTAATTCCATTTGAATCAATGATTCCATTTCTTGCACTATATCCTAAGTGATCAAACAAGCGGACAGAAAATTATTCTCAAAAATGTACTCTTCTCCCAGTATTTCCCATGTCATTATATGGCACCAGTCTCCTTCAAGCTGTCCCAGCCAGAAACTAGGTGTAATCCTTGAGTCCTGTCTTTCACTTACTCCATATACCCTGTTCATTGGTGAAGATACTTGTCTCTACCTGCAAAACAACCCAACTGTGCCCGCCTCCACTACTTGCCACTGCAAACCGCTATCACCTCCATTCAGGAAGACTTTGGCAGCCTCCAAAATCTTGGAGTAGTTGGCTGTTCTGCATCTGCCCTTGTTCTCCACCCTCCTCCAAATTACAGTCCATTTGTCCCAAAATCATAGCGGTCCTTTTTATTTTTATTTAAAAAAAAAAATTTTTTTTTTTAAAAGATTTTCATTGGGGAATTGGGGGGATGGGAACAGAGCTGGAGAATTGGGGGAAGGGGAACAGACAAGTTGCTGTCGTTTTGTTCTTCAGTCTAGTTGTGGAGGACGTTGCTTCACTGGCCCAAGTTGGCACCATCATTGCGCTCTTCCCGGACGAGGCAGATCAGTCGCCGGCTTCTGGACGGCCGCTCACTGCGGCTGCTGGCCGCTCACGCTGGCTGCTGGCTACACACGGTAGCCCATGGCAACCCACTGCCACAGGGACTGCAGCCTAAGCCATCGCCGGCGACTCACGGCAGCCCAGCTCCAGGTTGAGCTGTTGTTCAGCATCTTAGCTGTAGAGGGCAGTGTCACTGGCCCTCATATGTAGGATCTGAACCGGGGCCCTCTGGCGTCCCAAGCCAGTTCTTAACCATCGCGCCACTCGGCCAGCTCCACACTGGACTTCTTTATGTTCTTCAGACATGCACAACTTATTCCTCTTCAGGGCTTTGGTGTTAGCTGTTTTTTCTGACCGGAAGCATCAATGCACCCACATTTTTGCATGCCCAGCTTTGTTATTTAGATTTCATGTTTAATTTTATTTTCTCATCATTTAGTTTAAAATACCAGCTTGTTCAATCTTATTGCTATCACCTTGTTTTTGTTTGTTTTCATACAGTTCTCATCACTTCCTGGTTCTTCTTTATTGGTTTACTTGGTCATTGTTAGTGTCCTACTAGATTGTAAACCTTGTGAAAATTGGACTTTTATCGGGCACGTTCCCTGTAGTCCTGAGTCATGAACTTTGCCTGGTGCATAGTGGGTGGGCACGCAGTAAATTTTTTTTGAGCGAGTGAGTCTATCCCAGTTTTATTTGAATGAGCCTCAAAACAGACTAGTTGACTCCCTGTGTTTCAGAGAGCTTTTTAGGGGTGATAGCTCTTCTACTTTTTATTCATAGCCCCTCTTCAGTTTTGTCTTGAGTTTACTTGAGTGCACTGGTGGCTAACATGGGAGAAGACACTGAGGAACAACATAGCCCACTGTGCTCAGAGACACCCTGCACCCTGCTGACCTGAGCACTCTGCTCCCTCAGGCCTGGCTCCTCCTCCTGCAGGAGCTTCCCTCTGAGCTCCTCAGCCCACCTGCGGATCGGCTGCTTCAGACCCTTCCCACCCAGGCATATCTTCATCCTGCTTTCTCTTGCTCTTTCCCATCCTTTCCTGAGAGTCCAAGGATATATTTGTTAGTGATCCTTATGTATTTTGACGTTACTTTTATTTATTCCCAGTGCAAGGGCAACTTACATGTTTTGTTTATTTTAGGATGGGAGAGCTTGTTTGAAACCACAGTTTCAGAAGAAGAATATCAGGAAGTAATGAATAAACTCAGAGGCGATGGTACTTTTGACTTCAAATGGAGGAAAACCTACATAAGTGAGGACAAGCTAGAGAAGCAGCAGGACAAAAAGAACACACCTTTCAAGAAAGTTTCAGTTACCATAAAAAAATCCTACAAGAAGGAGAGGAGCTTAGCAGGTGTTGAGAAAAATCTCGGTTTAAAATCATCACTTATTAGAAAACCCAGAATTGTTTCCAGAGGAAGGAAACCCCATTTACAGCAGTATTCAATTCTATTTAAACAACTGGAAGTCAATACAGTGAGAAAATGTTACAAATGTAACATCTGTGGGAAAATCTTCTTCCACAGCTCTTCCCTGAGTAAACATCAGCGAATCCACACTGGAGAGAAGCTCTATAAATGTAAGGAATGTAGGAAAGCTTTCAGCCAAAGCTCATCTCTGACTCAGCACCTGAGAGTTCATACTGGAGAGAAACCTTACATATGTAGTCAATGTGGAAAAGCCTTCAGTTTCACGACATCTCTCATTGGACATCAGAGAATGCATACTGGAGAGAGACCCTATAAATGTAATGAATGTGGAAAAACATTTAAAGGTAGTTCATCCCTTAATAATCACCAGCGAATTCATACTGGAGAAAAGCCCTATAAGTGTAATGAATGCGGGAGAGCCTTTAGCCAGTGCTCATCTCTTATTCAGCATCATAGAATTCATACTGGAGAGAAACCATATGAATGTAGTCAGTGTGGGAAGGCCTTTACTTCAATGTCACGGCTAAGTAGACACTATAGAATACATACTGGAGAGAAACCCTTTAATTGTAATGAGTGTGGAAAAGTATTCAGTTACCACTCAGCCCTTATTATACATCAGAGAATTCACACAGGTGAGAAACCTTATGCATGTCAAGAATGTGGGAAAGCCTTTAGCCAAAGCTCAGCTCTTATACAGCATCAAAGAATTCATACTGGAGAAAAACCCTACAAATGCAATGAATGTGGGAAAGCTTTCTCCTGGATTTCACGGCTCAATATACACAACAGAATCCATACTGGAGAGAAACCATATAATTGTAAAGAATGTGGAAAAGCCTTCAGTTCCCACTCAGCAATTAATACCCATCGAAAAATTCACACTGGAGAGAAAGCTTATAAATGTAATGACTGTGAAAAGGCCTTCAATCAAAGCTCAGCTCTGATTCAGCACCAGAGGATTCATACTGGGGAGAAACCCTTTAACTGTAAAGTATGTGGGAAAGCCTTCAGACAGAGTTCATCCCTTATGACACATATGAGAATTCATACAGGAGAAAAACCTTATAAATGTAAAGAATGTGGGAAAGCTTTTAGTCAAAGCTCATCCCTTACTAATCATCAGAGAACTCATACTGGAGAAAAACTATAAATGAAATGCATGTGGAAAATCTTCCAACCAAAGTTCATTCATGCCGAATATCAATTCATCGTGGGGAGAAAGTGATAAAAGTAGTCAATTTTGGGTTAAACTTCAGAATTGAGACCGCATCAAACATCAAAGACTTCATGATGCAGGATAACCTTAGGAATATTAGGAAAGCTATAAATCTTCCCCATATGTTCTGAAGTTAAATAGAGAATTTGACTAAATTAGAGAATTCGTAAGATGAAAGGGTCAGTATTTTTTCTTTCTGGATGTGATAACATCCACCAGCCTATACAAGCATTGCTGGGAAACGCGTTGACATATGTAAAAGTGCAGCCATAAAATCTAGACTCCAGATTTATCTGGGAATCTATTTTTTGAAATTACATGTAAGTGTTATTTATGCAAACCAGTTATGTTTTGGAGAAGAAATGTAAGCAGACCTGTAACTACCTCACTGTCACTAAAACTTGTTTTTTTAATAGTTTAAACGCAAATTCTATACTTGGTGGTGGTTAAAACATGGTGGTTGTTTCTCCTCTGCTTTCTAAGCCATCTACTTGAAAATCACTCAGTAAACTATGCAGGTATATAGATGGTCCTGTGGGTTTTCTCCCTGACTACTAATTTCAACCTCTGAGTCAGATCTAAAGTCACTTTACTCACAAAATGCATGGTATTTCACTTGTCTTTCTCATAAAGTGATTATCTTTGCTGTATTAAGTTGTGAAAGGTTATTCTGACAACTTCTTCCTTTGCAAGTTAATTTACTAATAAAGGCTGTTGAAAATTATCTTACGATGTAGCCATAGGGAGCATAGCTCTTGGCCTCCCAGGCTGTGCCTGTTTCCTGAGCTCTGATTACCAGCCACCGGGAAGGCCCAGGAATGTGTGGAGCCCGGGCCATCCTCCCTGGAGGTAAAGTGAGCAAGGTGACTACCTTCCATTCTGCCCTCATCCCCCTCACATGGTACTCACACTTCCCACGTTCTGAAGGCAACTAAAAAATTTCAGGCTTTAAGTTCAGATGCTTCTTTGTCCAAAAAATGGACTATTACATCATTCCACAAGTTATTTAGTCTATTTTAGCATTTCTGAAATGTAATAATTTGAGCAAGCAAAAACAGTTCTCTTACAAGTCAAATAAAATTGAATTAAAACTCTATACATCATCTTATTTTGCGTAGTTTATCAAGAGCACTTAAGGACTGGAGTTCCCATTCTGTTGAAAAAAAAAAGATTCAGAGAGGTGCTGTTGGTGTGGAGACTAAGCAAAGAAAACATCGAGTTCAGCTTTTGCTTCCTGGGACTATTAAATCTCATTGTTTCAGACCTGTGAAGAACAAACTTTTCTGGATCATTTAGTGTTCTATCTGCAGTGCCCCCTTTTCCACAACCATTCCTTTAAATTCTCTAATTCCTGGGGAGATTTCTAGGAACATATAACTCCCCTGTCCTAGTCTGTTTGGGCTGCTGTAATAAAATGCCACAGACTGGTGGCTTATAAACCGAAATTTATTTCTCACCATTGAAGGCTGTGAAGTCCAAGATCAAGGTCCCAGCCTGGTTGTGTTCTGTTGCGGGCCCTCTACCAGGCTCCTAGCCAGTGCCCTTTTGCTGTGTCCTCACTGATGAAGGATTAGGGATGTCTCTGGTGCCTCTAATAAGGACACTAATCTCATTCATGAGGGCTCCACCCTCATGACAGTCACCTCCCAAAGGCTCCATCTCCTGATGCCATTGCCTTGGGGATTAGGATTTCAGCATATAAATTGCAAGGGGACACAAACATTCAGACCCTAGCATTTCCCAAGTATAGATAGTCCTGAAATCCCCCCAAAATAAAATCACACAAAATATTAGGCCCAGTTAATTTTAAGGTGAGGTCTATCAAACTTGCAATAACAATTTTAAGTCTTCTGCAAAATCTTTAGAGGAGATGATGTATTGGGTTGTTGGAAAAGTCATGACGCATTTTTTCAAAGAAAAACAGAAAAAATACATCATGACTTTTCCGACAACCCATATAAGCACAGTGATTCTAATATAACCCAGTACCAAAATCAGACAGGGAAGCACAAGAAAATTGCAGGCCAGTATCACCCATGAACAGAAATGTAAAAATCCCAAACAAGCATTTGTAAATTAACCTAAAAGTACCTAAACATAGTTTAATACATCATTAGGTTTTTTTGTTTTTCTTAGTTTTTACGGGGTTGCATGGTTTATTTGACATTATAAAATCTACAGATGCTGTGCACCACCTTGACAAAGGACAGAAATCCATATGCTCGTCTCACTAAATGCAGAAAAGGCAACCAAAATAGTACCCATTCCTGTTAAAGCCTCCTCTACCAAGCAGCAGTAGACAGAAACTTCCTTAACCTGGTAAAGGGTATTTACCAAAAACCTGCTGGAAAAAATAAAATGTTAGTATTCATTACAGAACAAATATGAAGAAAGAATGAATTCAATAATATTCAATAACAGGTCTAAACAGAAATGGTTCTTTCACAGAAAAAAATTGGATGCCTATTCTCACCATAAGAATGACCAAAACTATGACTTTTGGAAGAATATGTAAGAAATAACTTTATGCCCTCAAGATAGGAAATGGCTTTTTAAACAGGATACAGGTAAGCTATGTAAAATTTTAATATATTTACTCACATTAAAGAGCTTAGGAAAATATACCAAAAAGGAAGTGAAAAGACAAAAGGACATCTGTCCACAACACGCACAACAAATTAATCATCTGGAACATATAAGTGATTTGTACAGTTTTTTTTTTGAGAGGTAGAGGAGCAAAGATTTTTATTGAAACGAAAGTACAGCTCTCTTATGAGAGTGGGTACCCGAAACTGTACAAATTTTTTTTAAGGCACCTTAGTAGAAAGAAGTGATCTGAATACATGGCTACTAATTTCACAGGAAAAATACATATTCCCCAAAATATGAAAAGATGCTTCCCTACTAGTTACAAAATGCAAATTAGGACTAAAGTATGATTTTACAGATACAGATGAGCACAACTTAAGATGGGTGACAGTAGTTCTGGAATGTGTGGAATAACACATTCATACACTACTAGTGGGAATATAAATTGATACAGATCATTGACATCTGTTCATGTGCATGTCACAAAGAAGTGCCACTCCTACATACATATGCTAGATAAATGTGTGCATATGAGCACCAAGAGACATGTATACAGATACTCGTACACTGGTCATAATAGCAAATATTTGAAAGTAGCCTGTCCATTAATAGGACAATAGATAAATTTTGGAATATTAACACAGTAGAACAGTAATAGAAGTGAGTGAACCAAAGCTATATGCAAAATATTATTTTAAAACAAGTTTTTTAAAGGCATAGGAAGCTACATATAGTATGATACCATTTTTTTACAGTTAAATTTATACTATATGTATATGTAAAGATATTAAAAACAAGTGATTGAGAAGGGTTTTTAGTTATCTGTTGCTGTGTAACAACTCTCCTCAAAATTTAGTGGCTTGAAATGACGATTAATATCTGTCTTGTTTCTATGTTTGGCCTCAGCCTAGCAATTGTTACTTGCTGTTTCTAATGCTTTTGCAGTCAAATGGTAGCTGGGGCTGAAGGCCCAAATAAGCTTGATTTCCAAGATCTCTGGCTGTCGATGATAGCTGGCTGAGAGCTCACTAGGGCTTCTCTATGTGGCTTAGGATTCTCACAGGAGGGTGGCTGATTTCTGAGAGGGAGTGACTCTAGCAAGCATTCTAAGAGACTCTGCAAAGTTGCAAATCTTATAACTCAGCTTTGGAAGTCATACAGTGTTAATTCTGTATTTTGGTCAAAAATGATTCACAGATTTTGGCCCAGATTCAAGAGGAGAAGATAATACAAAGGTGTGACTACCTGGGGGCATGGTTCATTGGGGGGCCATCTGGAGATGAGTTACCACATAAACACAAAAGTCAGGATGGTGATTACCTCTGGATGTGAGCAAGGATATGAGTTGGGGAGGAGCACAGCAACAGTGTTCCTCAGCTTGCTTGGTACCTGAAGGAGGCTTCCTTGTCAGGAAGAGGCTGCCAAGGCCAGCCAGAGTGATCCATGTGAAGGCCGATGTGTATATCAGTAAAAGTATTGGGTCTTCGGAAAAGTCATGATGCATGTTTGCAACAGATGGCACTAGTTCATTTTTGGAAGTACTAGAGTTATTGCTATGTCATTTGACAGCTGATAGTTCTAGCTTCTAAAAAAAAATTAAGCGATTTGGTTGGGTTTTGGAAATTTTATAACAAGTTGAAGATGGAAGACCAAACTGTGCATTTTTGCCATATTTTACTGTTTTACTTCCATAAAGGGAAGAATGCACATCAAGCTTGTGAAAAGTTGCATAAAGTTTACGGTGACAATGCTCTACAAGAACGTCAGTGCCAGCGATGGTTCGTGAAATTCCGTGCTGGTGATTTTGATCTCAACGACACTCCTTGTTCAGGGAGGCCCACTGAGGTTGACGACAAATAAAGGCATTGATCGAGTCAAACCCATGTTACACGACATGAGAGATTGTAGAAACATTGAACATCCATAATGCAAGCATTCACTACCGCCTGAAGAAGCTGGGATATGTAAGCAAGCTCGATATTTGGGTTCCGCATAAACTCAAAGTTCATTTGACGGCGCGTATAAACATCTGCAATATGCTCATGAAACTTGAGGAAAATGATCCCTTTTTGAAGTGACTAATAACTGGTGATGAGAAGTGGATTGTTTACAACAATTTGGTGTGCAAACGGTGTTGGTCCCGATGTGATGATTCGCCTCAAACGACATCGAAAGCAGACATTCATCAGAGGAAGGTTATGCTCTCAGTGTGGTGGGATTTTAAAGGTGTGTTTTTCGAGCTATCAAGGAGCTAAATAATCAATTTGAATGTGTACTGTCGGCAACTGGACTGTTTGAATGAATCCATTATCCAGAAACGTCCAGAGCTTGTTAATTGTAAAGGAGTTGTGTTCCATCGCGACAACGCAAGACCACACACAAGTTTGATCACTCGTCAAAAATTATTGGAGCTTGGATGGGATGTTTTGCCAC